GCATCAAATGGCTCTGGGTACGACGGTAAGTAGGTATAGTTCATCGCTGTCGATGGAACAAGAGCCTAAGTTTTTTGTTAACAACTCATATTGTTGTTCACAATTAAAGAATGTTAATGTGCAAATACCGGATGTCTTGGATACGTAATGTCAGTTAAATAACAAGGATTTTTGTCTTCAGTCCTGTTAAGTAGTCAAGAACCCTTTTAGAGGGCATTGTTTGAAATAGCACTGATAAATATGAAACATGTTTTTATGCAAGGAAATGTAAGAGAGAATATGTTGACGTAAAAAATGTCTAAGGGTGTCACTGGAAAGAACTAGTGCATTTGCAAACCATTGACAGAGGTCTATAACTTCATGGAATAGAGAGTAAAGTTCCCTAAGATCGGAAAAGGAGGATCCTCCGACCAGGCGAGGTGTTCGTGCGTGGCGGGCTTTCTATATTCAGATGTACTTAGATCGTCTTGCTGCTGATGATGATGATGATTTTTGGAATCGAAGTACAAACGAATATTTGAACAATCCAAAAATTTTATAACGTGCATGGCGCGTACCTCCCCATCTTCTCAACTAAAATAAATAGTCGTGTTTGATTTTATTAGGAAAAAGGTTTGTAGGTATGTCAAAGTGACAGCATTTATTTCAATTAAACCATAATTGGATACTTTTGAAACGTCAACAAATACAAAACAAATAATAGTCTGCCAGTCCGTCAGCGAAGCTAGGTGCTTATTCCGAAATGTAGATTCAAATGGAGAAGAACAAGCAAGAAACTTCATTCGTTACTCTTTTAAAAACAATATGGTAGAAAAATTCGACACATTGAAAAATAGAAGCCAAGCGAAGCTGCAGTGGGCCACTAGTGTACAAGATTTTACGAAGTTACTTAGATGACTCGCTACAGACTTTCGGCGCCACCAGAGCGCCATCGGTATTCAATGACATGATTCAGACAAAATAAGGTCACAAGTCGTCCTTATCCTTATCAAGCAAGTCTACAAACTAGTCAAGACAACTTTCTTTAGTATTTTAACTTGTATGAGTGACAAACTTGTCCTCTTTGATTTTAGCGTTGCTTACCGGATTCGGATAGGTACATTTTTTTTTAAGAGGGGAAAATCATCGAATGACTGCTCCCGTCTGAGTGAGGCGGGAGGGAGTGTCATGTTCTTACTGACTACAAACCACCCTGTTCCTTCTCCTGCACGTCGAGCCGGAGCCCCGGTTACCCGTTAGGTTCTTCGTGACGTGAGTAAGTCAAAAACATAATAATTAATTTAGTATATCTTTTCAAGATATAAAACTTACTTTAATACATTTTCATCTAGAAAAAAATAATAGACATATCACTAGATCAAGTTTAACCTGCAATAGCTAACGTATATGAAGTAGTTAACAATTAACACAGCAAAGCTGGTGCTGCTTAGACTAATTGACTAGATTTCCTTACATCGCTTCGACATGTAATAAAAGGACCTTGAGTGGACAACTACATGTATTAATTGTAGATATAACGGGTAACTCCGGCTCGACGTGCAGGAGAAGGAACGGGGTGGTTTTTAGTCAGTAAGAGTCTGACACTCCCTCCCGCCTCACCCAGGAAGGAGCAGTCATTCGATGATTTTCCCCGCTTAAAAAAAAATAAAATTGTAGATATATAAACTAACACAACTATAACTAACATTATACTAATGATACATTAGAAAGCAATAGACAATTAAAACACCATGTTTAACGTTTTTAACCATAGACTGTAATAAAATTTTTCTTTTTAAAATGAATTTTTTTTTTATTTCTTTAAGGTTACTGTTCTATATTCTCCCTTACTACTAAACCATCTAAAGGTTGTCTGTAAAAGATCGCGTTTAGTGATAAGACCGCCCATTGTACTATTGACTCCTTCGCGTTTTTACGGTCTACAATAAAAACATTGTACTGTATTGTAACTGATGACAATTTAGTTACATTTAATATTATCTGTGACAATTACTTCGACAAATAAATGGCGCTGCGTATGACATTGAATTGAGTGCGGAATTTGATTAGCTTCCGAATTGTTCTTGCGGTTCAAAATAGATTGTAATTGATTTTACGTGTTCAAATTACTGTTAGGAATTAGTTCATTGAAAATTCCATTAGTATAGTCTCACGAATCATTTGTTTTTTTTTTTTCTTTTTTAATATATTTGATAGGCTGACGTTTATCCACTATCTCGCCTAGTGATAAGCGACGATGCGGTCTACGATGGAGCACGTCGTCCCATAAGCAACCTATTCACTCGCGCTTCGAAGACAACCTAGTTATACCCTCCTCCCTCCACTTGTAACGCTTTTGATTTTTCAGGTGTCCATGGGCGGCGCCGTTTGCTTACGATGATCCCGTCTGCCGGCTTATACCATAAAAAAAAACAGTATTTTACATGGACCAACTGCCTACATTTCATTTATAATCACCGATGTTCTTCACCAAAGTAAGAAGTAAAGTCACTCATTACAGTGTTACAGACGTCCTCGCATTGTCTTTATAATTATATTAAATGTCAGTACTATAGGTTGCATACAACGAGACAGTATTTTTATACATATTTGATATAAGTATTTTAAAGCTTCCTACTCCACCCAGAGTATCTGCTGACAACGTAGAGCTAGGAAGGTTTAGAGTGGGCGTGTGACATTTTTCAAAAAAACCTTGTCCCGCATTAGGTTTTTCTCCTGTGTCGTGGGTACGTTTACAAACATACAAGTTCACATACACAATAACACCCAGACTTGGAACAACAATGCACCCGGAACACAACCCGCGACACGTTGCACGGCAGCCGGTTGCCCAGCCACCGCACCAACCGTGCAGTCACTTATTGAATTATTTTGACTGCCTCGTTGGCCGAGTGGTCTCAAATGCGACTACTGGACAAGGGGCTCAGGTTCAATTCACTTGAATAGATAACGAGCTAACTGTCACCTGGCAGTCATTCAACTAATAAGCCAGTTTTACAGTGAGACAACATTTCATTCATAACATAAAGCTTTTATTACCGATGGAGTAGGCAGGGGTGCACATTACGGCACTTAATACCACTGTACAATGTAACACCCAGTTGTCACTGTTTATGTTATGAATCCCATGTAATAGAGGGTAAGCAATAGGCTATAGATCGGGCATAATTCCAGTCTCCTACTGAGATTTTTTCTAAAAACGTAGTTACACTTTGTCCGACCCGGGAATCGAACCCGAGACCAGTTGTCCGGTAGTCACACTTGAGACGACACTTCAATAACAATTCAGTAGACACATGTCTCAATTTGACCAATCGCTACGACGCTACATACTAACGCTAAGTGTTGCCGGGGCTCCGGCTCGAAGTGCAGAAGTAGGAACGGGGTGGTTTTCAGTCAGTAAAAGTCTGACACTCCCTCTCGCCTCACACAGGCGGGAAAAGTCATTCGATAATTTTCCCTCCTTAAGCCCTGTCTATACCTTCCAAAACCTACACCGATATAAATACATTACATTTGCATATTTTATAAATAAAAATCTTTCCGTTTATGACGTAAATTGCATCAACTACAATATGTAACTTGTTTCCCGAATCGATTGCGTATGCGCAACTGTACTTTAAACTGTCAAACACCAAGCGGTCACCGGTGACCGCAACCTATTGTTCTATAATTGTGTCTACAAAACCGGTACTCGACGAGTTAAAAGGGATTTCTTTATAAAATATTTTGGTTTTTTAGTTATGTATGTATGTATAGTATGGTAACTCCTATATACTATTGTACTAAGATAAATAACTGATTTCGAATAAGAACTCAGTAGTAGCGCGGAGTCTGGAATTGTGCCCGGTATATGGCAATAGGCTCACCCCCTATTACATGGGACTCATAACATAAATTATTAAGTTTTCGGCGGAACTCTTAAGAGAGTTCCTCGTCAAATAATTACGTGAGAAAGCCGAAAACATAACAATTTATTTAGTATGTCTCACGAAAGTTATAATACACTCTTAAAATAAATAGTGAAAAGTGGGTGTTACATTGTACAGTGGCATTAAGTGCCGTAATGTGCACGTCTGCCTAAAAGGCGTGATGTTATGTATAATTATGTTCTAACAAGAAGTAGGGGTGACAGAAGAAATAGTGGGTGTATATACTTTTTAGTGATTTAACCTAAACCTAAAGTCAATTACAAAATATAGTGCGCTTACCTCCTATTACAAACGACTCATAGTAGAACCGGTGAAAAGTGCACCTTTGCCTACCCTTTCCGATATCAAAGAATATGGCGTCATTTAAAACAAAAAATCTCAAAACTATATGACTAATTAATTTAACCAAAACTTGATTCGTCATGAAAACAAATTAACAAATTCTTTTCAAGCTTAACAAAACGAAAATTTAGGAGAAATTAGACAGGAAACCATCTTACTTGAGGAACTTCATATAATGACAGGACAACACCGCGAAATCCTTGAAATCTAGTCATTTAGACAACTCTAACAATGCCTATGGATATACGGATAAAACACCTAACCTTGATAACCAATGAAATATTGACACACACATGAAAATCAAAAGATAGATTCTAAACATTAAACACTACTAAAAATAAAAATGCAGGAATCGCCCGCCATTACTCTGCAATTCAAAATTGGAATACGATAAAAAATAATAAACGACACTCATTTTACTTTTTTTATCCGAAAAATATTTTAAACGAGGGAATCAGCCTTACCTATCAGCGCGACCCATTTCTCCCAATTTAAAATTCGAATTTTTTCCATAAAATATAAAAACGCGGAAATCAACGAAATCTATCATCGCCCACCAGGCCGCCATTTCTCCCAATTCAAAATTCGAATTGTGACAAAAATAATAATAAGCTTCACTGAATTTACTTTTTTTTTCAATTTCATATTTTGAGACCTTGCCCGCATCAGTGGTCCGCCTAGTCTAATCCTTCATAGTAACAAACAGGTACTTGAATACACTTTCAATAACACTATACAGCGGTTGGTACTTGTATAAAAGACCGGCGTAACACCACAACAGCATTCAGTAGCTATCCTGCAGTCAACAAGAAGTGCACGATGAGATTTCTGGTAATAAATTTTTTTATTTATTTTATTTCACTCGTAAATAGTGATAACAGAACGTTTTAGAAATTACTAAATTATTAAAGTGATAAAACCAAAATAAAACGCGTGTGTAATTAAAAAATAAAATCATATTAGATAACAATACAGTATAGAAGAAAAAAAAAACATCTGTCAAATTTTCCCGCCATAAAAAAGATCGTGTTCTAATTACCAAGGAAGTGTCTCATTCATCCTAATAATGCGTTCTGTTACAACTATTACATATTTCTTTTTACATCCACCTAATTATATAATCTTATAAATAGTTTAATCCATCAATCTTTCCTCATACGAGTCCATATATCAAGATAATTAACAGAACTATGTTAACAGTGGTAATAGATCCCATAAATAGCATTTAAAGGCAGAATAACTGAATTCCTTTGCATCCATACTGATCCAATTAAAAGTAACTAGCAGTTATTTGTATGACAAGGTTGTATGAATTAATTAATACATTTCTTACGCCTTGTGAACTTGTTTTTTGATTCGGAGATTATTTAAGACGAATACTTTAGTTAATTACTTAATTTTCTGTAACAATTCTGTTCAACATTGATAATTAATATTTTTAACCAGATTTACAAGTTCTTCAGTAGATACCTCGTCTTCTTCATGCCCAAATACTAAGTTGCTTGGAGCCGTCACAATACCGACGTCATCTTGCATTCTCCACTATCAGACGTCATCCTATCACAAACTCATTTCCCCATAGATATAATTCTTCACACAATCCATCCACATTTTCTTTGATCGTCCTCTGTTTCTATTCTTTTACATTTAAATTCATCCCTCTTATCATATTATGTATTCCTGCTTGAGTACTTACATTCCGTATTTACAAAATAGTTACGATTGAACCAAAATTAAAAACAGACCATCAAAAATATGACAAAATTAATGCGGCCAATATTACTCTTACTAATAACTCAACAATAGTTCTGGGTGTATGAATTCAAGCCCAATGAATGAAAATAAATACGCCCCTAGTAACATAACTAAGAAAATTGGACCAATCGCTTTTCCAAGAAAAGGAATTGACCTAAAATTCCTTATAAGCATTGCAGAAAAAGTTCTTATACACTTTAAATATAACTTAAAATTGTAGGTGAAGTACAAAATAAATAAACCCATACATTTTATCGCCCCTATTATTAAACTATTGAAAATAAATGTCACAGTATTAAAATGATATTGCAAAACAATAATCATTCGTTGTCATTATCATAATAGTTGTCTATGACTAAGCGTTGTTATCTGTGGCACGCGTATAAAATGTCAATCATCTGGTTTATGGTATACTTTAGTAAATGTCTGATAAATTGTGGATTGGATTACATAGCAGACATGTTAAAACATTTTATAGATAATAATATAATCAAGGGGAAGGGATCCTTCCCAGAATAGATATAATCTCTTACAATTTAAGGGTAGGTACAATATCTTATTGCAGCTTTCTTTTTAATCAAAAGAACCAAGTAATTGATCTACAAGAAGGCAAAAATCACGACCAAAACCCTTATCTAAATACAAAACTAACCAATAATACCTGGAACAAAAAAAAATCAAGATAAAAAATAAATGTCATTCTTCCCGCCAATTTCGTTGAACACCACACGATCAAACACGTGCGTTTCTCGTTAACATCAATAATTAATAACTGTAATTAAACAGACAATAAAAAATAAAATAGAATTACTGTCCGCAAAGATTAATCAATCGACTAAATTAAAACTCGATTAGTGCTTCACATCGATACAATGAATCGATTTGATCTGAGAAATATTAATATGACGGAAATCTAAGTATCGCGTGACAAATACAATTGTATTATTGTAATTGTATCATGAGATCTAATTAGTGTTTTCATTAATACAAGGATTTCATAAATATAAGCAGTTATTGATTTACTATCTAATGTAAATACTCTACTCAAACGCCACACAATTTTAGTAATTTAGACTAGTTCTGTCACTAAAAATTCTTTGCAAAATGACAGAGATCGCACGATATTTAAGTACATCTTAAAAGTAGCCTTTCAGTATTTCAGTATTTGCTTGACTTTCAAGTTTTAAAGTGACAAATGACATAAATTCATATGTCACTGAAATTAATCGCCTACATGACTTCGTCATTCGCTACTAACTTCCGCATCCCACATTCCGAAATTAATTAATTTTGCCTACATAACATTTAAAGATTCTAAAAGAACATAAAGTGTCCCTATGTGCCTAAAGTCTATATTGTATCGATCATATCATATGTAATTTAAGCGCGAAAGTATAAGAAATATAGTTACATTCGCATTTATGATATTTGTAAGAAACAGCATTATATTCATTTTACGATATACAATCAAAATAACAAAATGATCTAATTCTTACATAACCCAATCAATTTTTTCCAACTAGCAACAATAGCAACACCAAAAAAACTGTCAATCACATTCCGCGCACAATGTCATTATCAAGGACAGATAATAAAAAATGAGACCATAAACGAAACGTAATTATTTTTATATGATCGTTACATACCGTTTTTGTTGTGTAGGCTAAAAGGAGGTAGTTAATTGAATAGGTATGTGTTACTATTAATTCAAGGTACGGCAATTGAACTTGAAAATAAATACAGTTGCGATTTATTTGGCACTGTTTGAGTATGTAATATTTGTAATTGATACGCTAATATCATACGATTAGAGATGATTTCACCTTTTTTCTTCTTTCTGTTCATATCCCAAGTTATCTGGGGTTGATGAAACATATCTTCTATCTCTTTCTCCTCTTTCAAACATCATGCCATGCTGTCACAAACTGCTCTGTCATATCGATCCTAATTCAGCTTTACTACGATCGTCCAAAACTCAACCAATTGTTCCAATATTTCTTCCCAAGCTCCAAATGTTCTTGTGTGTTGTCCAATCTACAGTAATCAAGTAGATTTCTAAGTAGAAACTCCCACACAATTATCTAAAGGGCAATCGCAACCAAAGGCTGTCAACATCCAAAAATTACACGAACAGACTCAATAATGAATCCCCAAGTGAAGTTACAGAATTACACCTTATTTGTCATACCTATGACACAACACTGCACTACTTTCCGCACGGCCTTAGCACATCACTAGACGTGTCATAACCGAACATGACATGTGTCAAGGTCCCTAATTATAATGCATGGCACATCACTATTGTTGTGATATTGTCTATGCGTTCCGTTATTTTTAGATTTTGTATTTGGAATACAAAAGGTCGTGTTTACGTGTATTGGAATGTGACTTACGTTTAGAACTTTAGTAAAACTAATCGTCGCTTTGTCTTCCAAATTCAAACATCTAACCATAGACAGACGACACATAAAAGAAAATTTTAGGCCAATGTCAGCATACATACAGCCACAACTGTCAAACTAGAATGGCGGGAGTTGCGAAATAATATGACTGGGGTATTTAAGGCGTTGTCCTGTTAGCGAATTGTTTAAGATAAGGTTTATTGGCATTGTAATTGTAAATTGGGACCAGGTGTAGCCTATTTGCAAATCAAGGATTGGCCGAACCTGTTTTGGTTGGTAGGTTTAGGATACCAGTACTAAATAGATACTTATTTAATATTTGAAAGAATTTGTACAGCAATCTGATTAAATTACTACAATGAATTACAAAAAACATATTATAATTTTTATTTTTTATTTTATTTATTTAGAAAACCAACAGCGATACATATGATATAATACAAAATAAAGATATTACAGTTTAGTAAGGCTAATAATAGGTTTCCCTGCTTAACTTAATTTGTATTTACCATGCGAACGGACTTTAAACAATATTTAAAAATAAAGTTTTAATATAGAATTGAAAGTTAAATATACTACTTGTTATGAAAGGGAGATAATAATATTAACCCAATTAAAATATGAATTAACATAGTAAATGCTCCATGGTAAATGCTTTATGGTGAATGGAACAAAGTTGCCCGCTACCTGCCTTTATCAATTATAATATTTTTAACTTGGGCTTTAAAGCTAGGTTTCGTGCAGTTAAACACATCAACCTGAGAGAAGTCTTTGTTGTAGGCTCGCGCAATGCGAGCAAGTACACAATTACTAGCATAGTTAGTGGCATGCCTAGGTACATGCAACATTGGCGTATGGCGAGTGCGTCGTAGAGGAGCATTAAATTTGATTTGTGATAACAAATCCGGACAATCCAGCCTACCATTCAGTATGTCGTAAAGAACACACATGTCCAACACTTCACGTCGTTCATCGAGTGTTAACAACCCATACGTTCGACAGCTATTTTCGTAAGACATTGGAGGTTTGCGGAGGCGGTAGTTAAGGTGATTAATAAATTTTTTTTGAACACGTTCTATTTGATTTTTATATATATTATATTGAGGGGACCATATTGGGCATGCGTATTCAAGAACACTACGAACATAAGCAAAATATACAGATTTAAGCGCTTCAATGTTTTTAAATGCCTTGCAGGATCTTAAAACGAATCCTAAATTTTTGTAAGCTTTGCTAGTAATAAGATCTATGTGATTTGAAAATGCCAATTTGCTATCGAACATAACTCCTAAGTCTCGAACTATCTCAACTTTATTAATAGTAATTCCATTAAATTGGTACGAGTACGTTATAGGGTTCCTCTTACGTGTGTAACTGATGCATTGACATTTCTTGACGTTTACTGTAATCTTGTTTCTTGTATAGTAATCATGTAAATTGTCAAGGTCTTGTTGGAGAGCTGAACAGTCATCAAATGAAGTTATTTTATAATATATTTTTTTGTCGTCAGCGTACATTAAGTGTTCGGAGTGTTTGAAAGAGTCAGTAATATCAAATAAATATGCATTATAGAAGAGAGGTCCTAAATGGGATCCTTGTGGAACACCACTAGGTATATCTATGAAGTTAGAACGGTAACCACCCAATACTACAGCCTGTGACCTTTTAAATAAATATGATTTTACCCAACGAAGAAGATCGCCGCCGATAATTAAACAAATCGATTCCAAAGTACTCAGTATCCACGACGAAGAGCGGGAAGTACTTTTAAAAAGCCTCCACCTATTCTTTGTTACATTAAATCCTCTTAGAATGTTTAAACATAACGAAACCAATGCTCTAGTTTGCCCTAGTTCACAAACAAACGTGAAAAATTTCCTAAACTCAGCTAAAATCGTCACCACATAGAAAAAACTAGAACACAACACTAACTTACCGAGAAACGAACAGTAGAAAATTTGCACAATACAAAATTTACTGTTGCATAGATCCTGTATACCGATTAGGTGAATTAACATCAGCAGTTACTAAATGAAACAGTAGCAGACTGGCAACATTTAATGTACAAAAAGTTGCCGTATAAAAAAATCAATTTACGATTATTAATTCTGACATTCAAGGCTGTATGTCACACGTCTTTGACAGGTTTAAATTGGAATTTGACAGTTGATTTATTTATTGTCCTTAGGCCTACTCCTGCCCCATGTTGCGATATTGAGTATAGAAAACTTTCATTTCTAAGTCTGGATTTGTTATTAAGAGTTAATGACACTTTCAAATTAAACTGTCAAACACCAAGCGGTCACCGGTGACCGCAACCTATTGTATTGTTCTATAATTGTGTCTACAAAACGGGTACTCGACGAGTTAATAAGAAAAAAGATAATATATTGAAATAATCTTCTACCTACACTTCTACCTTCCTTTTCTAAATTTAACTGCCACTATATATTCGAAAAACCTTTCTAGGCAGAGCTTTGATTTTGATTGCGCCCTTTTTCAAATTAAATCAAATCACTAATGTTTTATTTTATTATCTGTAATCAAAAAATTAAAATAGGTTACCAGTCTCAAAAACTGATAAAATGGCAACTCTACACCACCAATGCTAATAGAATGTTGTCATCGGCATTTTTTCGGTTAATTACATTGCAATTAGCAATTAATATTTCTTTAATAACTATGTTAATCACGCAGCAAGAACCGACATTATTCGGCCTAACAAAAAACGGGAAACGTGCAATTCTTTTGTCAGGGCTACTGAATTGAATTAGCATTTGTATTGAGAGCATATTTATACCACATTTTGAGCAAAGAAACTGAACCATCAGCGTTGTTTTCTAACCCACTATAACTTAAAAAAAACAATATTCGTTTTACAACAAAGCTCTCATTTTAAATGTAACTAAATTGCCTTCTAAACGACATTATTTATCAAGATATGAAAAACATAGAATCTGTGCTACCAACTCCCAAGTGTACAATAATTATTATATGTATTAACAATGGCTATAGTTGACCTAATGGTAAGCAGATATTGTCGTCTAAGTGCATTTGCAATACCAGAGGCTTTACAAGTGGGCTAAATCTTTGGACAACTTTGCGGGTTACCGTGGCACGCCTCAAAGCAGAAGTAGGAACGGGTGTAGTCAATAAGAGTCTGATACTCTCTCTCTTGCCTCACCCAACTTCACTCAATACAGGAGAAGATTTCCCCCCTCAAAAAGGCCGCATTGCAAATGTTTTACCGACCAAGTAAGCTATGTAATCTCGTCGGCATATCGACTGTTTTACAATTAAAGACAGTAGTTAATATAAGTTTAGTTACCGATATAATCAAGTAAAGACTTAATGATAATTATTTTTATTAAAATAAAAAGAAAATTGATGATTTTCTATACCTTTCCTATAAATCTTTAATTACAATGAGTAACTAAAAGAACATAAAACCGTTATTCCAACGCCAACAACGAACGGATAACGTTAATAACGGAACACGGAATTAAGTTATTATAACAATAGTTAATTGTTATTCCGTAATTTGCACGCATAATCTCAAGGCAGTACCTAGTTAACGCAACGAAGAAACTGAAATTGTAACTAAATTAAATCAACGTTATTGATTTCACGGTTTGTTAAACTTCTCATTTATTTCAACGTACACACATCAAGCTATGCATAACCAGTATAAAAAGACCGTCGAATGTCCTGAAAGACCAGACAACGCGGGACCAAACATAAACTGGTTTTTTATAGTTTCATTTATAGCCGACCATTCGATAAATTAGCATAACGGTTTTTTCGACAACTGTTATTTTGATTAATGTTCCAGTAGCCATCTTTTGGCGCGAAACGATTGCTTGATTTATTGCGCGAATTAAATACGTAATGAAATCGATTTTGTTGTATCATGCTAATCATTGATTTATTATGGTTCGCATATGTGTTTATAATGAGTGTGGAATAAATTTTGAGATAAATGGTTTCGTAAACACTACTCAAGTGCATAAGAGAAACAAAACTACAACTTTATGTGCCTCATATCTGATATTTCATTATCAAAAACCCAGTACTCATACAAAATACGAATAGCCTTATGGAAAGCCATAAAAAACTATTTCAATATTCATTCATCATTGATGGGAGGAACGGATCTAAAAAGAACCCAAACTAAATCGACATTAACAACTTCAAACCCAGTATTACGATCACAACTCTACAACAACAACCATCTTCCACAGATCGCTTTCGTCGCCATCCTCGGCTATGCCTCCGCCAGCGTGATCAGCCCCTACGTGTATGGGGTGAACGCTGGTGACGCTCAGGCTGCAGCCATCGACGCGACAGTGGCCGCCCAGGACCACGCCCGTGCCGTCGGCGAAAGCCAGGCACGTGCCGCCGAAGCCGCTGTCCAGTTTAACAACGAGGCAGTACGTCAAGTTGCTGAAGCCAACCGAGACCTCCATGAGAACGCTTACTGGGGATCCGTCGCCGCCAACCAGAATGCCGTAGCCGCCGCTCAGTCCCACGCTGCTGCCGCTAGCGGAGTCGCCGCTGCCCACGCTGGTATCGTCGCCGCCCGTGCCGGTTACGCCGCTCCCTACGGCATCGCCGCCCCCTACGGCATCGCCGCCGCTCCCTACGGTTTTGCTGCTCCCTACGGCATCGCCGCTCCCTACGCTGCCCACGGCCTCGGCTACCACGCCTGGTAAATCGACAACGGATCCCAAAAACGGTTATTTCAAAAATAGCAGTTGTCTCTAAACTGTTATTTTTTACTTAACCGTTTTTGTCCCTTAGTCGGTTGTACCTGGCAACACTGGCGGTGTGTTTTTTATGTCGTTAGTGTTGCAAGGTGTCATTGGCCAAGGGTAGCAACACCACCGCTCAAATGGATAAAAAAACATGCTCAAACGAACTAAGGTCTCATATAGTAACTCTCTTTGTAAATAAAAGTAAATAAAAGATGCCATCACTGCCAAAGTGTAAATAAACACGTTTTTACAAAACAAAACACATGTTTTTCACTTACGACTCCTTTTTACATTACCTCTAAACTATAAGCTGACCGAAATTCGACTCACTCAATTTGAAATACAACAGAAAATGAAACAGCATCAAAAATTACCACCATTCTAACAAATTACAGACATTCAACTCGATCTAGACAAAATCTAATACTCATATAAATCTAATACTCATATCACCCTAAAATGAGAAATAAAATTGTTTCGTAAGAATTATGTTGCAGCTGTAGCCAAGTGTCATTTAGCACTTATCTACTTGTGGAGTAGAAAACTTAATCATATGGGATTGACGTAAATTTTGACACTTGTCAGTGTCATCCCCATAAATTTAGTTTTCTACTCTCTCTGTAGACAAACGCTAAAGTGGCGTTTGGCTAAAGGCACTGGTGTAGCTAGACATAAAACAATTTTCTCATGTAGATAGTAAAATAATAAACTCGATAGAAGCGCATATCAAATGAAACTCTCATTTATTTATTTGTGATTTGTTTTAATTACGGTGCATAAGAACTGTTTTTCTTTATTTCATGGTATTAATATCAACCATTTTAGCAAGTTTTGTAATTTGTATAATGCGTCAAGCGTGTCTTTGCATTGTTCTCACATATACGTACAATATTGGAATATATATCAGAGACATTGTAGAACATACTTTTTTAAAAAGAGTAACGAATTGAGTTTCTTGCTCGTTCTGAGATGAGCACTTAGCTTCACTGACGGACAGACTGACAGACTATTATTTATTTTGTATTTGTTGACGTTTCAAAAGTACCAAATCATGGTTTAATTGAAATAAATGCTTTGACTTTGACTTTGACATGATTAGATTATGAGTTCCATCATTTGACCATGACTAAACCACAAGTGATCACGTAAAAATATTGCACTCACGCTTCAAGAATAAACAGATTTTACAGACACAATATTGTCGTCATGGTGCACCGGGATCGAAACCTACCAACAGCAAGTACCAATGTGACTTTTTCCAACTTATATGTAGGTACTTTCTAAGATTATTTCGACACCACTGACAAACGGTGAAGGAAAACATTGTAAGGTAAGGTAAAGGCTTATAATTTCTTATTATACGTTTGAAATCACTAAACCGCATTGAGCAAGCGTGGTGATTAATGGTCAATCAAACCTTCTCCGGATGAGAAGAGGTCTTTGGTCAGCAGTGATGATGAATATACTCTAATTTCTAGCAATTAGTTCGAAAGTATAAGTTGAGATGCACACATGAAATGTAACTCAAACTTTCAGCCGGATCTTATACTTCTTATCTTATACCTTATACTCTTATCTTATACTATTATATAAAGCGGAAGGGTTTTTTTTTTGTTTGTTTGATTGTTTGTTTGTTTGAACGCGCTAATCTTCGTAACTACAAGTCTGATTTGAATAATTCTTTTTGTGTTGGATAGCGCATTTGTGGAGGATGGCTATAGGCTATAAAACATCACGCTACGACCAATAGGAGTTGAGCAGAGCGTGTGAAACCGCGCGGAAGTAGCTAGTACCATATGAATCGCATGGAAAACAAAGTTTTTGCGATACACCGGGAACAGTTGTTATTTATAAAATAAAATATGTATCAGAAACCAAGGCTGAATGCATATCTAAACAATTAAACTGTCAAATACCAAGCGGTCACCGGTGACCGCAACCTATTGTTCTATAATTGTGTCTACAAAACCGGTACTCGACGAGTTAATTCAACATTTAATTGATCTAATTATGGCAAGCAGCTGACAACTTTATTAAGACAAGCCGTTTAACTAATGGTTACTAATCTACACAAGCTAATTCGAATCAACTAAAATGTAAGACAGCTATTATATTCTACTAGCGACCCGCCCGGGCTTCGCACGGGTTCAATATTCATGTATTATACATATAAACCTTCCTTAAAAATAACTATATCTATTAAAGAAAACCGCATCAAAATCCGTTGCGTAGTTTTAAAGATCTAACCATACATTGGGACAGATAGACGGCAGGTAGCGACTTGGTTTTATACTATGTATTGAAGTGTGGGAGAGTCATGAGAGCATTCAGCACGAATGGGCCAGTTCGACCGGAGTGATACCACGGCCTCACAGAAAACCGACGTGAAACAACGCTTGCGTTGTGTTTCGTCGTGTGTGTGAGGTTACCGGAGGCCTGATTACCATTAAAAAAGAGAGTAAATACGAGAACAAAGAAACGACAAAGTACAACCATAGGTAGTATTTTTAAGGGGTGATAAGCCTGATATATTGGTAGAGTCTGACACTTCCTCCCGCCTCACCCAGGCGCCAATTTTGCCAATTATGTTATCATCACCAATTCCGCTATAATATGGGCAAATCTGTCAAAGCTTAGGACACACCTGGTCACCGTGCATTTACTAAAAACCCTCAAATCGAAGACCCCAAAACACCTTTACCTACCCATAGGTAAATCGAGTTGCACCGACCAACAAGCCACTAAACTACAAGAACCAAGCATTAAACGAGAGAACTCAGAATCATCCATTAAGAAGCCAACTTCCTGAACTTTAATCTCGTTCAAAATGTCGTTGAAAACAAAGAAGGTATATTCTGGATAATTCGCCAAGCCCTGTCCAAGTATGTCAGGTGATTATGACCTTTATAGCTACGGTGGTAAGTGCCAATTACGTGTGTAAGTGTTGTGGAAACCAGATACTTGATTTCTAGACTGCCTTGGGGAGGGCGTAGGCTTTTGTTAGTTGTGACATAAGGGCGAGTAGTTTGGTGTACTTGTTGGGCCAAAAGTTGGGTTAAAAATTGTGGTACGATGAAGTAGTAGAATCAATGAAAGAATTTCCGGGACTGAATGGAGCGCTTTAGATTTATATATGGGGTATACCTGGTAGCCTGTTGAATGTACTAACCATATCTGCTGATTTTATATATGTCGGAGGAAGCTGCGAGTTAATTGTTACTTGCATTGCATAACGCACATTAATTTTTATTTGTTTTATATTCACTTTTTAAAATGCCTAAATTAATTTAAACTGATTTGTCACACTTAAAATTCTTAATTTGATTTATTAGAATTATTGATAATTTGAATTTGACTTCCTAAGTAACGACCAATCAGAGCAGAGCGCGCGCCTCGAGCGGGGTCGAGGCGCCATCTTACTGATAAAAAGAGAGATAGTTTTGGCGGGAGAGCATGAATTAGCCATCGGTCGAGGCGGATCGTTTATGTAATTTTACTGTAAGATTGGTGCCCTGAACCCGCTGCTCAGTCCTAATTATTAACTTTTCTTTTACGTTATTGTGAAACAGATAAAACTATTGTTACTATCTAAATTAAAATAGTGTTTATTGTGATCGTTGTGTTTTGTGCTCGCATTTTACCCTCATGACGCCCACTAAGCCCGCAAT